AGGCCCCCCCCCCCCCCTCCCGTGGGGGCACATCCGTAGTTTACCCCACCGGCCGTGCCTGAACGGAAGCCTTTGGGCTTAACGAGGGGTCATACGGTAGCCCTACAGTGCAGCAATGAAGTTGAGCATGTCCTGTGTCGACTGAAGTCTTGTATAACGACATGCCGTTGGTAAGCAAGGCTATTGTACCCCACCAATGAGAAGGCAGTGTTCGGTTCCCGTGTGTGTGTGAAGCTGTGGGCTTGGTGTGCTGGTCGCCTCACCTGCTGTCCGCTGCTGTGTGCTGTGCGTGCACGTTGCACACACTTCTGCCGGTGTTTGTCAGCCGATTGGAGCCTTACGGGGCAACATGCAGCTGGTGGGGTATGCAAGGCTATGTACCCCACCAATGGAGCAGGTTGGGGCAACAGATATATTTTACCCATCAATCATGGCTGCATCAAACCTGAACTGTTTCGGCTGTACGATGGTTCTCGCGATAGCCCCTTAACACAGCCACACAGTCGTGCATGTCCTGCCTCCATTGGTGCCTTGTGGGCAGAGATACAGCCGGGGGGGTGTTTAGAGACTAATCTCCCCGCGGGAGGGGATCTAGGCATGCCGGATATTTTGTTGTTACACTAATGTACTCCGCGGTAACTCGAAAACACGGGAATTGATTTTTGCACGGTAGTTTTTTGTACGGTAATGGGGCAATTCAATTTGATCGTTAACGGTTTGGGCGTTTATGTTATGACCAATTGATCACGGAAACGATTCGGATGGGAAAGGTAATTCTCATTTTTCACGGGATCCCGGGAAAACGGTAGCCTGGTTCTACCGCAGTACAATTACAGCGGAGAAATTTGCGAAGACAGCCCTGATTGTTTATACCTAACCCAACCCTACTGCTGTGTCTCAGCGGAGTTTTTGCAACCGCAATCGGTTTCAACTCAGGGCGAGGACGGGGCTAGCAGCTACTTGTGTTTTATCGTTCCGTGCTGTGCGGGGACATGGAACGGGTCAGTATCGACGGACACAAACACAGGCGGCCTTTCCACACAACAGCGCCCAGACCCGTCGTAGGGAACCACAAAGTCATTTTGGTAGAGCAGAAGTCAAGTGCGGGCTTGAAACTCGGTACTGTTGTCCATTTGGTAGCAATTTCACACCTGACTCTTTCAAGTCTACCTCGCTGGCGTGCCTCCCACCTGAGCGTGTTGTCCTTCACCAAGAGCGCGATAGATGCGAAAAATATGAAACTCCAGGTTGGGTCCGCATCTTTCGAAGCTTCGGGAACGACTCATGTTGTATGGCACACGGATGCCGAAGCGTAGGACGAGGGGGGGCCGGGTGGCAGGCAGCGCACCGACATTATGGGTTCCGCCGCAGAATACTCCGCGCGAGAACGGTTGCGTGATTCATCAAGTCTTGTTTGCACGGACCTCGCCAACCGGGTGACCAATGAAATGGCGAAACTTTCAGCGGTTATTGATCAAGGTCCTCGGAAGGAAAGTAAAAATTCTGGGAATGAGCATGCCGCAATAAACCGATACAAACCCGGTGCGAGAGCAACATACCAAAACTTAGTTGATGCCAGCCCTCCCCGTGAAAGTCAGTACCTGGTATTGCAAAGGGTGAACGACGGCAGTAGGGTCAGTGGAGGGGTTTTGTGTGTTGTTTGGGTCCAGGTGGTGCCCCGATCAGCCAAACGCGAGCAAGAGCCCGGGCGACATCTTCGCTCCGAGGGAGTTTTACCTCTGTAATTGCAACGAGTCTCCCATTACCTTTTTTCGAGAACGCACCCGGGTGTTCATTTGTTCCTAAGCAAGTTACTCATCAGTAGTCTTGTTCGTGCCTTGGCGATCGCGATCGTGCGTGGTTGCCATCACCATGCTTGGTATCGAACTGTTTATCGTTGGTCGATAGGGTTGCGTGTCTTTGGATACCTGTAGAGAGCACCGCCAAAGCATACCACGTTGCCGAGTCCTCTCAATACCGGCACGTTCTCGGGGCGAATTGCGAACATCCCGCATCACCGTAGTCGAGGCACCGTCCCGAATCTTTCGTCAGTCTTGCCAACCCGCTGCCTCTACCAGCCTGTGCCTCGCTCTCTGCTGCTACATGTTTTTTTCTTCTGTATCAATCTAACATCACAAATCCATTATGTCCATTGAAATGTAGGATAACCTGGTAAATTGAATTCATAGCGTTAACGTAGTGTTATGATACCTGTTTATACGATTCCCCAAGCAGTTTTTTATTTATTTATTGATTTTTGGTGTTCGCCTATGTCCCTCTTCGCAGGTGCCGGACTTCAACGACATGTACGAGCTCTACGACCCTTGCACCGTGATGTTCTTCTTCCGCAACAAGCACATCATGATCGATCTCGGCACGGGGAACAACAACAAGATCTCGTGGGCGTTCAACAACAAGCAGGAGGTGCGCTCAATCGTCCATCTGTAGCCGCGTTTCTGAGGGTTTGTGTGATTGTTTGTAAGAGTACATCACCGCTGTAGTATCGCGTCCACCACCACCGTGCTTGGGCTCGTCAACCAGCGATGGAAAGAGCTGGCGTGATGTTCTTTTCGATGGTATTAAACGCCCTGTGGTCGACCTGAGCGCACACGAGGAACAACGGCAGGCCTCCGGCGTTCAACACCGCGCAGAATGTACAGTGTAAGGCCGGAGGGCATTGCCGCTGGAGCCTTGGACGGAGGTACCTATTCGCACGCAGGCGTGCTTAAATCGCCACCTTTTTTGCTGTTAACTGTCGCGTTCATTGTTGCTTGGAATTGCGACGAGATGTCATCATTCGCATGTGCGGGCGAAGCTTGCGTTGGACGTTACTTGCCCTAACACCCCCGCCGAACGCCCTCCCTCCCTCCCTCCCTCCCTCCCTCCCTCCGTCCCTCATCCTTCCAGATGATCGACATTATGGAGGTCGTGTACAGGGGAGCTCGAAAGGGCAGAGGTCTGGTCGTCTCACCGAAGGACTACTCGACGAAGTACAAATACTGACCGCGGCACCACGCCCTCGTTTCCCCTTCGTTGTCGAAGCTGTCAGCAGGCCGAAGTGGGAGATGGAAAGTTGGGAAGGTTGGTCTTGTCTGTCTGGTTAGTGTTTGCTGTCGAATATTGTTTTCGCTGCAAGGCTGGAGGCTGTATATAAGCAGCGGCTGCTTTTGTCGATAGTGTTTGGCGTGCCTTTATTATGGGAGCCAAGAAAGTTCTCGTGTTTTTTGCAGGCGTGGTGGATCCCCCCGTCGTACGTCTGGTAATTTTTGTCGGTTTCAATGATTTCAGCGCCTGTAATCGGTTTAGGCGTTGACGGTGTGGCTGACTACTACAGTACTCAGGATGTAGAGGAACTCGCAATCGTTCTGCTGGGCATCTTCCACCTTAGGGTACGACGGACCGTGCCTTGTACGAGTTGAAGGGCGTGGGCGTGGGTTGGAGGCCTTCAGCGTCCGGCTTGTGACTTGCTATGACTTGCGCCCGTTGTCGACTTAGTTCGTGATATGTTTGATGTTCGCATGATGGGCGGGGGGAGTCAGGCGGTTGTACAGCAACTACGTATTTGTGTAAAACGGTTGTAGCATGGCGGCCGTGGGGGGGACTTCGCCGAATGGAGCCGCGAGACGTCGTACCCCGCAAGGTTTCAGATTCCTGACCCTCACGTCAGACTGTACTGCAGATGGCCACAGCGTTTTTTGTGAAGCGTGTGTTTGCGCGCGGGGAGCTAGCCCGCGCCCGCTTGTCGCCCCGCCCCTCTGTACATCCTGAGGACGGTCTCAGTTGTTACCTGGTTGTGGTTTGGCTGTGGTGTGTGTACCCACGGGCGTTATCTGAAGCCCTGCGTATGCCAAGTACCGTACACCCTCAGCTACCGGTATTTCTCTGATGTGACGTGCCCTAATCGTGCGCATGAGTCAACCAAGAAGCAAACCATTACAAATACGGCCGCCAAGACGCGTCAAGTAAGTTCGTTCGGTCAAAGATTCTGGTGGTTCGGTCGAGAGTGCTCGAACCGCGCTCCCTCGAGCTCTCGACGCCTTTCACATACGCAATCATACACTCCAAGGGATCGACTAATGGATCCTTCCCGCGGAAAAATCGACCTCATGCTGTACAGTGGAGTTGTCCTCTGTGACACCGGATCGAACAATAGCGGCTGACATACATTAGGTGGAACGAACGCATATGGAGTGAATGCTACTAGTGTTCAACTCTTCTTGCTATGCACTACATAGAAGAGTTTGAAGGCGCGTAATGGCTGCTCAAAGTATGCGCGTTGGTGCTTTGACGTGCCGCAGAACCCCTCGGTCTAGAAGTCGATGTCGTGGAAAACTCTCCGCGCCCTCATCCAGAGCCCAATCTTGGACAAAACTACTGTACTCCCTTGATTCGAATGGCGGGGGCACTTTCATCGTGACGATACGGTTTTTGCTGGTGAGGTCGCAACTGCCGGAACGCGTTTTGGTACAAGGGTCATGTAATCGGTGTGTTCTTGCTGTCGATGGTTGGACAGCAGTTAGTTTGGTTGTGTTGCTCTTGCTTGTTCGAGCGTTCAGCTTCCGATTTCCCGTGCCACTCTTCGTCTTTGCCCTCTGGAGTCACTTGCAGCCGCTGCATGTTCACTTGATGTTCCTTCGCCTGTTTGCGCCTAGCCGCCGACGCTTCGGTGGCTCTCCTGCCCCTGCTGGTACTGGCATCTGTTGGGGCCGACTTGTGCAGGATGCGCCTCTCTTCCGAAATCTTGCGTGAGATCTGCTTGTTGTCATCGTCCGGCCGTTTTCAGATGGTTAGTACACGGCGTGGCAGTGCGACATGGATGGTTCAAGTGTACATAGTGGGTTGTTGATGAACCCTCCGGTTACCGTTGGGCAGGATAAGGTTTTCCGAGCTCGTTGTGTCTCACATCCTGTATTCTCAGCGCCTGGATCTTCAACCCGCGGGCGACCGCCAGGTCGTACGGCGTCTGCAGTCGTTTGGTAAGGATCGTCCACCTCGCGCCAGCCCGCAGAAGCACCTCGGCAACTTGCTCGTGCCCGCTGTTCGAGAACACATGTTAACCAGATGATACTGAATGAGGACACATTTCGCCTAGCCCGATAAACCCGACGTCTTCAGTGCACTAAACATCAGCACGTTCGTTTACTAGTACAGGGTCTTAGGATATTACCACAATGGGCAGTTAGGTTTCAGCCTGCGGCACGAATGCACGACTTCTGCATAGTCGGGGCATTGCGAATGGCGCGTCGATTGACCTGTGGCTACAGTCTATATGGTACTTTGAAGGTTTGGTTAGTACGGCCTTGATATATGCAATGTGAACGCTACACAACCTTGGATATAGCGTGTAAACATGACGTGGTCCCTGCAAAAGAACGGAACACCTCTCTCCAGTTCCGTGACCCGCTTCAGCTCTTCAAACCGATAATGTTTGTGGTGTTGACCACCGTGGCGTGCTACGTGTGGAAGGAAACAGAAGTAGAGCGGGATTGCCAACACCGCCGACCACCGCTCAATAACCTACATCATTCTTGCTGTTAGATATACTCGCAACAGTATCTGGTCGTGAGGATCCCAGGGGGATACGTGTTGGGGAATTCCGTGTGTTGAAGGGTACCACCGGCGCAGTCACGGGGACCCTTTGGGCGTGGTCGGTGCGATGATGAGGAAGGCTTGCGTGCGTGCTGCGCTCTTCTTCCTCTTCTTCTTCTTCTTCCCTCTCTCTCCACCACCACCACCGTCTCTCTCCAATCAAGTTTCCTTCTCCCACTCTCTCTCCATCTCTCTCTCAACCTCTCTCTCTCGGCCTAACACGGCCGACTACCCAGTGCCCCAAAGTAACGTCCAGAACGTGCTTGCTGCACCCCGCGTAGTTTACCTTTCACACTAGTGAGTTTGGATGGCCCACTAAGGTCAAGTCGAGACTTGTAGCGAAAGGTGATATGCAGAGAGAGTACATTGACTTTGGAGAGTTGTACCCGCCTACCGTTTCTGTTTCGTGTGTTAGCATGTTGGCTGCTTTGGCGTGCTGAACCTCGACTTGTGTCATTTTCGATATTGGGCAAGTTTTTGTGCGTTCGAAGTTGGAGGAAGACGTGTACATGCGTTTACCGCAGGGTCGTGGAGCTCTATCTGGAATGATTGTAAAACTAGGCAAGAGTCTGTATGGCTTGAGACAGGCATCTAGGCAGTGGCATGCAATGCTGAAGAGGTGTTTGGTAGAGTTAGGTTTTGAGCAGTGCATGACCGATGCTTGTGTGTTTCGTTTGATTGACGATGGATGTGTTGTTTTGATTTTGGTAGTACATGTAGATGACATATTTGCTGTGGGAGAGAGGGAGAGATGTGACAAGTTTGGTGCCGACCTTAATGAGTCCGTGCCAGTGAAGAACCTGGGAGAGTTGAGATGATATTCTGGGTGCTTTTCCGAGAGGAAGAAGGAGATCGGTAGGTTGACGATTTCTCAGCAGACTTTCACGGATGAGCTAGCAGCAGAATGTGGAGTAGTGGGAGGTAAGAGCGTTCCGATGTCTTCGGGGGTGAAGCTTTCTGATTTTGATGCGGATGAGGTGGCGACAGACTTTCCGTTTCGTGAGCTGGTAGGATCGTTGATGTGGCTGGCGACTCAGACTAGGCCAGCCATTGCGAATGCAGTACGGGCAGTAGCTAGGTATTGCGCATCTCCGAAGCTGGTACACTGGAATGCAGCGATGGATATTTTGGGCTATGCGAGGAGGACGAGTCACTTTGGTATTTCGTTTCAGAGAGGTACGGTAGAGGGATTCAGCTTGCAGGGATACGCTGATGCGGACTTTGCAAGCAAGGCAGCAGACCGTAGGTCGGTATCAGGGGGGATCGTGACGTGTGGAGGAGGCGCTGTGTCTTGGTTTTCCATAACGCAAAAGTGCGTCACGCTTTCGACGACAGAAGCAGAGTACGTCGCGCTAGGTGACGTAGTGAAGGAGATTTTGTTTTTGAGGCAGATTTGGCGTTTCATGTTGCCGCAGGTCGGCATACCGTGCATCCCCATCTTCGAGGACAACCAGGGGGCGATTCAACTAGCGCAGAACCCCATCTCAAACTCGAACTCGAAGCACATAGATGTAAGGCACCATTTTCTCAGGGAACTGGTAGAGAGGGAGGAATTTTCGGTCATGCACGTGCCGTCGCCAAACCAGCGTGCAGACTGTCTTACGAAGAGTTTGTCGAAGGATGCTTTCGAGTCTCACCGTGATTTTGTGATGAATTTGGCATGAACATTTTATTGTTTTTCTGATGGGTTGTGTTTTGGTCTTGTTCTGCTTCGCGTTTTGTTTCATTTCACGCGCCAAGTATTTTTTAAGCGCGATGCAGCATTCATATTTCTTTGAATTGTTTTTCTCTCTTATATTATTCTGGTCAAGTCTTCATGGTATATATTCTGGGAAAGACGTCTTTTGGTTGAGATATCGGGTGTTAGCGAAGTTTTCTGTGAGAAACTATTGCGAGCAGGGGGGATGTTAGATATACTCGCAACAGTGTCTGGTCGTGAGGATCCCAGGGGGATACGTGTTGGGGAATTTCGTGTGTTGAAGGGTACCACCGGCGCAGTCACGGGGACCCTTTGGGCGTGGTCGGTGCGATGATGAGGCTTGCGTGCGTGCTGCGCACTTCTTCTTCTTCTTCTTCTTCTTCTTCCCTCTCTCTCCACCGCCACCGCCGTCTCTCTCCAATCAAGTTTCCTTCTCCCACTCTCTCTCCAACTCTCTCTCAACCTCTCTCTCTCGGCCTAACACGGCCGACTACCCAGTGCCCCAAAGTAACGTCCAGAACGTGCTTGCTGCACCCCGCGTAGTTTACCTTTCACTTGCAACATCGTTCGAATGTGACAGATTAGATACACTTCCACGCGTGGGCGCGGTCTAGTGGAGTGTATATCCTTCTTCACTCGCCTTTTAAGGGCGAAGTGCAGGGGGGCATACCAGCCCCATGATGTCCTCACGTTCACGCTGGCGTCCGCGTTGATAAGAACCTGAGCCACCTGACAGCTGTTGACCTCGGCCGCTCGGTGAAGAGGTGTTACTCCACTCTGAAGCGCCCTCCAACCCCCCAAAATGCACCACAGAGCAAACAGAGGACCCGTGTTTGCAAGACCATCAATGGTTTGGAGAAGGTGCGCTGTGGGCAGACTGACGTGTTACCATTCCGAAAAGATGGGTAAGCACCGCCAACCGTTCTCGCACAGGAACAAACACTCTCTCTCCCTTCGGGCAAGGGAGACTCGCCGAGGTATCATCTACACGTAAGTATGACGACGCTCTATTCGCACGATTGACTTCCCGAAAACATAAAAGGAACGGTTTTGCAGCAACTCAGCGACAGCAAGGGACTGTGGGAGGTGGATCCCCTGTGCTTATTTTTTCAGTTATTTATTGCACCCGGAGGAGAGAGAGTGACAAATCGCGCACGCGCCTACAAGTATCGATAGCCAAATAACTCCCCCGCCGTTAACAACCACATCCTTGTGCATGTGAATGTAGAAGGAGGGGGTCCAACCCCGCCCTCCTATGTGACCCCGGTTGGGTCGTCTAGCTGGTAGAAGTGGAGGATAGGGGCCAGAAGGGCAGACGACAAAATCCAATGATGGGAGAAAAACAAAAAAGTCTTGACTAGACTAATCAGAAAGTAAATAATATAATAATAATGTACACAGTACGCCTGCGTTCTGCCGAGGGAAAAAGCTCAGAAGTTTTACTCTCTCTCACCCAGCGCGTGGCATCAGGACTGACCCCCCTCTCCAGTAAAGATTTCACCCTCGGCACGTTGTTCGCGCGCGCTGCCTGCCAGATGTCTCCCATTGTATTGCTTGATGGAATATGTACTAACTGCCGGCGTTTTTCGACAGAAGAGTGTTGGACGGGGGGATCATCTTCCAAACTTCGAGTAATACCACACAGCTGTTGAACAATTACGCTCGTGCATAAGAATTAAGCGCTGTTGCACAGTGCTCGCGTGCCGCGTACGACGCTGGTATCCGTTTCACACGGAGTGCAGTTTGACGTCACAGCACGACTGCGCTCGCCACAAGTGCTCCATCACACCTCATTGGTCGACCATGCCGTTTCAGATACATGGAGTTCCAGTCGTTGATACGATATTGTGATATTTTTCCTTGACGGGCCCCCCGGCACAGCAACATACCCCTCCAATTTGACTTTTGACCCCGAGCTGCGATGACAGCAACATCATTAGCAGACAGCCCTGTGTTGGTTGCCCTCTCGACCGTGGGCACGCGGCGGACAAAGTGAGCGGGCTTCGAGGTGGTCAGGGGGCGTCTAATTGATTGCAGCAGGCGCGCGCTGAAAGTAAGAGGAGCGAATTTGGATCGGACTTTGGAGCGCTGAGACACCCACGTGTCTTTTGTCATTTGTTTAGCATCCATGGCTCTCGTCGAGGTGCCCACGCCGCTGGCCCTTCTGGGTGGTTTGCTGGCAATGGCTCTGAGTGCGCACTACATGACGGCACGCAGCAAGACGGGGTGAGTTGCAAGCCCGAGAGAGTGCGAGGGACACATTTGCATGGAAACTGCAAAGAGCGCGTGTTGTTTTGCGCGGCAGCAGTACTTTCTTGAAGGATGGATCGTCCGCGTGTAACAGCTTTGTACTCTGGCTCGTCTTGGCTCGTGCTGCTGTTCTGCTCCCCAGCAGTGCGACGTCGTCTACACGGTAGACACCAGACACGACCGCCACAACCGATTCATCCATTGGGCTGGGTAGCACGGACAGCGGAAGCTCGTACTAAAATAGAGTGTTCTTGTAGAAATCACGTGTAGAGTTTGTTGACAGCAGTGAACCTGCTGGCGACATCCGTCCGACCCATGGGTGCACTCAGCACGCGCATCATGTTTGCTCAGTCGTGTGCATTCTCCCTAGGGTGCTGTTTCCACACCCGCATTTCCCTACGAATCTCCTCGTCGCAGAGTAGTCGGCGCGTGTTCCCGTGTGGGTGTGATGGTTTTATTTCTAGAACGCGATTCTCCTTCGAAGTTGTTTGTTTCATGTGCGCGGAAATGCGGCTATTCGTGCTCTCTGCTACCCTGTATCTTTCCTTACTTTCAGTACATACAAGCGCGTCGTATTTTGTTGCGGTCCGCAGCTGTCGTGCTCCGCGAGCGCGTGTGAAACTGCCGAAGATGTCATGGACTACCTACCGCAAGAGGGGAGAGATGCGACGGGTTTCGATCATTTTTTGAATTGTTGCTTCCTCTGTTTTTCTTTCGCACCCCGGTCCCATCTCTCCGACCCCGGTGCGGAAATGGAATAATATGATCTCGTTCGGCTCTTTCGTGGCACCCCGGCGCGATCTCCCCGACCTGTGCGACGCCCGATGAACGATGTATAAATACAAGTAATATAGGCAGCGGGCGTTCTGGTGCTCGGCGGTATGATGTTCACGCAACCCGGTGCCATCTCCCCGACCGGTGCCATCTCTCCGCCTCTTTCAGTATTTCGTTCCAGTGTGTATCTGCAAGCAGACGTGTGCCGTGTAGGTACCGTTGTTGCTGGCTGGGAGCACACAGGTAGTGGCAACGTAGGCTGGTATATATGTTACGTCGGCAGTGGGTTCGGCTCCTACCTTGCCGTCGGCACAAAGTACCGTGTTCGAAGTTAGTCCCTCTACACACCAACGAAATCTCGACGGCTTCTGCGCCGTCTCCTGATCGTTTTGCGTCTTTTTCGCCGTACGCCCCTCATGTTCCTTCTGATCTTGACACTAACGTTTGGACTGTATCTATTCGTAGTGATTGTACATGTGCCGCTTTTTGTTTGTCGAATAGAGAATTATTTTCCCTCGTTGCAAGCAGCCCTCGGTCCGCGGTTGTTTTCGCCTTCAACCACAGATGAAAGCAGCCTGATTTCTGTATCATCTGCATCCATGCGTCGATAGTCTTTCTTGACATTGTAAATGGGAAATAAGGATTAAGTCGACTCTACAAATTGTGCTCAAGGTGTTTTCATCCACAAACAAAGGAAGCACCCCGAAAACAGCAAGTGATGTTTTGGAGACTCACTCGCTGGTAGCTTTGCTGTGTGTTGGAAATGCGGGTAGCAGCAGCGCAACATCTGTTCCTGTAGCCGAACTTCACGCCAGCAAGTTTGTGTTCGTATTATCGTACCGTCGTCCACGTGAATAGCGCTGGTTTGTCTTGCCCAGCTTTGCCTCCGTCCACCCAAGCCTCCGGCCCAGTTCTCAAAGGAAGTAATAATGTAATCATGGAAACACTGTGTGCTGCTGCTTTGTATCGCTGCTTGGTACACCGGCATGTTTGTTGTAAGACCATGCGTTGATGGGTAGCTTTATCACGAGCATAGATGGCATGCCTTTTGCTTCCCTTGACTTCACTCTGTTAACAGAAGAGTTGGCGTGCCCTGCAGGTTTTTCCTCCTTTTCACGTGTCACTAGCTTACTGATGTTGACGACGAATGTTCGTGCAGATCGCATCATCACGACCATCATCACGACGTCATCGCCATCCACCGCAATTTTGTCCCCCTTCCCTTCCCATCTCGTGCCTCTTGTTTGCCCATTGATGAAACGTTTGTGTGTCAGCGTCCTGGGTAAGATGGCGGCTTTGGTGAACATGCTCTGCTTCCTCAACGCCTCCCTTGGCGTTATTGTCATCATGGCGCTTACCTACCTCTTCGTCAGGCCCTTCAGCGCTTCCACCGTACGCAGGCTGGTGAGATTATTGGGCATGCGTTCAGTTCGAATCATAATCAGAAAGAACATTGCCCGAACGCCTTCCTTATTGGCAGTTTGTGCGCGTGTGTCAAAGGAAGACGTTGGGCGTGTCTTGGGAGTACAGGTGTTCGAACAACGAGCACGAACACTCGACCATGGAGGGCGAGATCTCTCCGTTCCTTTGGATCGCTAGTGTTCGCACGACGGACGCATTATGATATACCGCGAGAACGAGAGCGAGCTGAGCTTTCCAGCCAGCGAGAGCTGTAATATCTCCCTTTTCCGAATTCCCACATGCGGTCCACACCCGAATCCAGAACTCGAATTTTGCGGAGGCGATGTGGGCGGACGCGATGAGTGCCATCATGCCGCCGTCGAAGGTGGTGGTGACGGGGGAGATGCCGGACGATGACACCCAGGCTATCGTCATTGCCAACCATCAGGTAGTCCGGCACTCCGTGACGTTGAGATAAGAACCTCTTGTTTTCCCAGGGGCTCGTGTCTTGTGAGGTTACCCAACGGTCTATAGATGTTGGTGTAGGTTTCTCACCCGAACAACATGTTGTTCTTGTTCCAGTTGTAAGCTTCGATCCACTTCAGAACCTGAAGGCTTGAGATCCCAGGTTCTTGAGCCGTGGCACATCCTGTGTTGAACGCGCTGTGTTGTCGCCGTTGTCGTGACACTGTCGATGCTGCCGTTGCTATTCGTAAGGCGTGACGAGCGACACCGAGCGATGGCGTTGTTGTTGCACCTCGAGCATTTCCTAGCAGTATCGGCCTTGGCATCAAGCGCCAAGAAAAACTGTCCCTAACAGTTTTTCCTCTCTCTCTCTCTACCTTCGGGTATAAAGGTGGATTGTGACTGGTGGTTCCTCTTCGAGCTGATGCGGCCGCTCCGGCGGCACGGAGCCTTGAAAATCATCCTGAAGGACGACCAGAAGCACATCCCGGTGACGGGCTGGGGCATGCGCGGCTTCGGCTTCGTGTTCCTGAAGAGAGACTGGGTTAAGGACAGGTGACTGACTTACGTGCGCGGATGCCCTGTCATCCTACCTGCTTCTTTTCTACTCTATCGTTTGTTCTTGCTACTGTTTTGTTGTTTTTGTTTTTGTTACTTTCCCAGGGTTGGTTGTGCAAAGATGGGTGGTGTTTGTTGGCCCAACGTTTGAGGTTTGAGACACGCGCGCTCCTTTGGCCTCGGTTGCTCCTCTTCTTTGTGCTCGGTGTGTTGCTTTCGTTGTTGCGCAACATGAGGGTTGTGTTGTTTTTGCCGGCGTGGCGTGTTGTGGTATTCGCCCCCATTTTCCGACAGAGTCTGGTCGTATGGAAGACCGGCATGCTGGCCGGAAATCTGACTAGGAATTAATGAAATGATGTGGGACCACGGATTGAAAGGGCAGATGCGACGATGGAGCATGCCCACCGAAGCAGGCAACAAGCAGTTGGACTCCTGAAGTGTTACCCTTAAACCCCTCTTTCACGGTGTTCGTCCGCGAAACGCAGACGCCACCTTGAAGACGACGGCAGCCAGCTAGCCACTGCTCTTCCCACACCTTTTCGCATCCTCACACGCACCACGTGGCTGCTCTGGTGCTGCTGCCGCCGCTGTGTCGTGTGTTGCTTGCCCTTGTTGCCCTTGTTGCCCGTGTTGTTGTTGTTGTGTTTTTTGTCGTTTGGGAGGTCGTAGGGCTAACCTGGAGAGACAGCTCGGCGTTTTCACGGGAGACGGTTTCCCTCTGAGGCTCCTCATATTCCCGGAGGGAACGACGATAAACGCCAGGTCGATGGAGAAGTGCACGGCGTTCGCCAAGAAGGTGATGAAAGGGCGTCGGTCGCCGCGCCTGGGTGTCGGTGGTGGCGGGTCAAGTCTAGTGGTACGGGAAATCCGTAGTTTCAATGGTTTTTGGTGCGGGTTGTTGTGAGCGGTGCGCATGTGCCGTGTTGACCGGGAGATATATCGAGTGCACCGGTGTCACGATCCGAGCATTGCGACTGGGGTCGATGCCGGTGCCAATCTTTCATTGGCAGGTTTGAAACGACCGACATTGTTTTTTCCCGTGCGTTTATTTCTGGGATCGGCATTTTCGCGAGGCTATTCCTCCGCTGGGATATCTTCTGCGTACCCTCCTCGTGTATGCTCGAACGCCGACCCTTCCCACGCCCATGCACGCGGCGCCACCCAACAGCGCGTGCGGTTTAAGCATTCGGATCAACCTCTCATCCCATGAAGAGCTTTCCATTGTTTTTCCACCCCTCAAAGAGCAGTGCCATCACCATCATCATCCCTCGCTTGTCCACTTTGTCCCGGTTGCCTCCCCCACGCTCCGACTTCTCGATCTCCGCTGCTGCTCTCTCTTCGCAGGAACAACGCCCGAGGTTCGAGCACCTCTTGCTCCCGCGAACGACGGGATTCGGCGCCTGCCTGAATGCCTTCCGTCGGACGGAAAGCCCGGGCGGTCGGGGCGGGGGTGAGGGTGGCGGTGCCAGAAGAGGAGGGGATGGAGGGGGAGAGGGGGCGGCCAGAGGCGCCGGGGCCGCGGGGCATTCAGGCCGTGTGGTGTACGACATTACGGTGAGGGCTTCTCGGGGTGTTGGTGTTGGTGTTGTCGCTGCTGCACGGCAGTGGCTGCCGTTCTGTGTGTGAGGTGCCGCCTCGACTGCCGTCTGTTGGGGCTTCTCCTGCTCCTGCCGCAGCTAGTTTCCAACACGGGCTGTACAAATACTCGCTCCCCCTGGGATATATATTTTGTGGATTTGGGCTGTTCCTGCTTCGGTAGAATTCAATTCGTTGGGTGATGTAGCCCCCCTCCGCCCCCCCGTTGGCCTTGTGTCATTTGTGCTTGTTGCACGTTGGACGGACGATTCTATCACCAACGTTTCGGCGTACAGGCGGCTTTGGCTGTACATATGCGTTGTTGACGATGATGACATTTCCACGGACGATGCGTTTGAAGCGTCCCAAGATTCTTGAGATTTCGGCATATGGCCAACCCGCAGATACCATACCATATTCCGTATTCCATATACCATATACGGTTGGATGGACGAGACGGAAGGTCCTCTCGGGTCACACGTGGTCCAGTCCAGTAAGATGCGGTCACACGGTCATCGTGATGGTGTAGCAGAGGTGCACCATCTCTTCGAGTTTGTCATTTCCGCAAACAACTGTAGTTGAAAGTTTGTCGTCGACCCAAAGTCATTTTTCAGTCTACATGCGTATATCTCGACTTCATCTCCCGAAAATGATGTTGGTTCGGAAGCTTTCACCATCACTAACTTAGTGCGGTGCCACGTTGATATCTCGCCACGTATGCCCAGCTTCCCTGCGTGCACGGCCCTCATGCCTTGGAACTGTGGGTAACTTCAGCTTTTGATGTTTTGGTTGTTTGCTCTTTCCATTCGGGAGTTGGTCAATATGCATACATGAAGATAGCCAATTTCTGTTCTCCAGAAGCGTTTTTGTGTGACCGATGGTCGCGCTTGTGTCTTGCTTCGTATCGTTTTGTGCGGCCCAGATGGGCTACACCGGCTACAGCGGGGAAATCCCCTCGTGGGAGATGGGCTACACGCGGGATAGGGACGTTGACGTCCCAAACCTTGGTGCATTGCTCAAAGGCCGCGCTCCTGGACCCGTGAGTATTGGAAACGGAGCACTGGCTGGTTGATGAGCCGGTTCTTGCGAGGGCGGAACGTACGATCGTTTCTTGAGGACTGGCTGGTTGATGAGCCAGTTCTTGCGAAGACGGGACGTCGGTCGTTTCTGAGTTTTTTTTTTGTATTCTTGCGCGTGTGCGTTGTTTCTTGTTGTTCCTGTTGGCGGTCCTGTTGGCGTCTTCTGTGCCATGCCTGTCTGGCTGACTTCGTACTTTTTGTTCCTCATGATCTTCTTAATCGGTTCCAGTGGTTGTTGGTTATTTCATGGTACGCAAATACGGCCTGTTCATGCTTTCATCCGCTCCCGCCCCCCTCCCTGTACTTCTCATCGAAACTTACGATAATAGCTGAACTAGGCTTCGCACAAAGTTCCTCGCATACATTCGATGACGGCGTGTGCTGCCCGCCGCGCTACATCATCTTGGCGGGCGATGCACACACTCCACGGCATGATATAGCCGGATTCGTCTCCTCCCTCTGGTTGATGACGACATAACACATCGTTACCAATCCGAGCACCTGTCTCGAAGACGGTTTGATCGCCTCGGCTTGCGCTCCCCCGATTTGTTTGCCAGGTTCACCTTCACGTCGAGAAGCACTGGGTGGACGACATCGCTGGCGACGGCAAGGCCTGGTTAGACGCCACCTGGTGAGTGCAGGAGGGACCCCTCTCCTCGGTGAGATGTTGCTGGCATGAAGAAGTTGTCAACACCGCGGTCGGTGGAGCCGGCGCGCCTGGCGAATCCGGTGACGCGCCGTTGGCCTCGAGGAGCGACGGCGGCACGCACGAACGAGCAGCGGAAATGCTGCCCTGCTGTTTTGCACACGACATAAGCCTTGCAACCGTCCAGAAGCCGCTTGCGCAGTGTCTGTGGACGGATGACTTTTTCACTCCCGCCTAAGCTTGAAGGAAGCCACGATGCTCCCGTTCTGAGTGCAAAACCCCTTGAACAATGATGCCGTAGAGCCTGTGTGGCATACCGTGCGTTCGCACCAATCAACAACCCCCCCCTCCCTAATGTCCATGCGCACAGGGCCCGAAAGGACGCCCTCCTGCGCCGCTTCATCGAGGACGGCCGCTTCCCGCACCAACCGGTCGCGGTTTTCGAGTCCCGCAAGAGCCCGATGGCCTTTCTATTGCTGTCGGCCACGCCCATCGTTACCGGCCTGCTGCTGTACCACGGCATCACGGACGCCTTGGCGATGCTCGCAGCGGGAGCGGCGGCCGCGGCGGCGGCGGGGGGTGGGGACGCGGGCGGCATTTTGGAGGGCGTGGCGAAGGGGGCCGCCGCATCGGGAGCAACAAGCGTGTGATGATAATGGCCATCATCACGCTTCTGTTTGGCGTCGGCTTGTGGCCGTGCGAACTTGCCGAACGTTCGTGCGTCGGCCGTTCCTCTGTCGGCGCGTGTGTGGATTGGGCTTCGTACCGTGTGTCAGGAGGATTAGGAGGAGGAGGAGCGGCAGCGATAGGCTGGGCGCCGAAGGGGCAGCGTGCCGGTCTTGTACGCGCGTTGCTGCTGAACTGGATGGGCGTCGGTCCTGTGCGTTCGGCGCACCTCGCTCTCGTGTGTGCGTCGGAAGTCGATGTGATGGAGTCGTCCATCAAGCTCACCTCTCGTGGTCCCGTGTGTTTGTTGGTTTTGCCGCGCGTGGTGATGTCGCCAGGACTGATGCGTGTCGGATGTTAGCGAAGATTTTTTCTCACATGTCACTCAGTTCGTGGCGAATGAACGGGGCGTGAACGAGGCTACAGCAGTAGACCACCGCAAGTAGTGTGCTGCTCTGTGTTTTGGTGCCGAATGTTGCTGCTTGGGATGAGATGGTCTCTGGCGTGAGGGCAGCTGGCAGACTTTTGCAAGTTTCCAGATCGCCTTTGTCCCACCAGAGGCGTTATCGTCTCTTCCCTTGCTAAATAGAAATAGACAGATTCCCTGTCAAAGAAAGTGGTCCGTCTATCAATGTTGCTGCGTCTGGTGTGTGCACCGTGTTGGTTGTGATGTATGTCAACAGATGAAACTCTCGTCTCTATTCGCTGAGTTCACACAGTTTTGTCATTTCCTTGTTTGGTGTCGTTGAAAGAAATACAGAGTTTTTGCGTGTCAAAGCGTGCACGAAAAGACCAGTAGCATTGTAATGTTCTTCAGGCGAGCAGCCTTTCGAGATTCGCGTTGTCGTGGCACGTGACCTGCGGCGAAGCCTCTGATTGGCGACTGCTTTTGGCAGCCGGATGTAGCGGTGTTGATGCCCTCCAAACTCTCAGCTTTCTGCAAGGTACCAAAAGTGTTTGTTTGTCAAAGAGAGGGCGGAGAGAGCAGTCTTAGAGGCCTCGTCCACTCTCTACGCCATCTGGTGCACGAGATGCCGTACGGTAGGTTGGATGGCACCAAGTATTGCGAGCTCAATTATCTCTCTGGAGCGGAACTTGGCGTTTGCAACAAAAAATACATGGCGGAAAACGATCAATTCGACAGTGACTTTGACGGTGGACAGGTGACAGGAATCGAGACTGATTTTCCACACGCTCACAAATTCCCAGCTGGCTTTCTCTTGGTGGTGACCTGGCGTGACCAAAATGACGCTTGGGGTGAAGTCTTACGCCTCGCCTGGTCGAGTTGACGGAATGACTGCAGCTAGATAGCTTCAGTGCAACGCACTTTGAAATCAACTTATTTTCGTGCGCAAGCGGCAGCAGCGGCAGTTCCCACCATAAGCATTTTTTGAACGAAGCAGGGAGACACCCACCGATACATGCGCAGCCTCCAACTGCCCTGTAGCAACTTCAGCGATGCAGGGCCCGTGTGAGCCGACCGATAATCACCATGTTTTTTATACAAGGTAGTTCCAAAATTGGGCAACACACACAAAACATTTCAGTACGTTTCTGTGACCAAGATTGGCGACTTCGTCCATGGGCTACCGAATGTCTGATGCACAACAAACTCTACCGCTTGCTCACGTGAGCAGGCAAGATTGTGTCCACGTGCCGGGGGATTTTAATTCCCCTGTGATGCGCAATGAGAAGTGTGGTTTGTGGAAACATCTCTCTCGGTGTGTACGTACAAAATCGAACTGGTTTTGGCCCAAGCGTGGAAATGTCGAAATGTCTGCGTACCCCCCCTCGGTGCTTCTTGTAGGTACCTTCGAAATGCCTTCCCCGAAGAAGCACATGATACGTATCATACCCCCTCTCGCTCCCTTTTTGAAGAGCTTCTTGCCTCTCTGGCAACGAGCAAATAACGATTGATTGTGTCCAAGGTGGTCCTGTGACCCTTGTTTCATGCTGGTATTCTGGTGTACATCATCACTTGACCAGAACTCCCTCACGTGGAACCCCTCCAGGGCGAGCTCAGGAGCTTCCACGAACGGCTGACGAAGGAAAAGAAACAGCTCCGGATGAACGGCGAACAGCTTCGAGAGAAGCAGCTCGTTTTCCTCCGCCAGCAGCAAACGACGGCGCACAGCAGCCAGAAGCTCGGAGGAGCATCAGGCGGAAGCCCACAAAGTACGTTCTCGTCGAACGCCGAAGGATGCATAAATCCGTGTTTTGGCCGTGTCTGGATTGACATGTATCGTGTAGGCACGTCGGCACGACTCGCCCTTGTTCTATGGGAAAACAGATATGGCGAGTATCATATGCCTCAGTTTCCACTTGACCATGCCGTTCTGAGGCCTGACCTGCACCGCGTATTGTTGTACCCTGTGGACAAGCCGGAGGGCCCTTCTTTTCTTTGTCTCATACCTCGTGCTCCTCACCTGCTGCTGATCTTCGTTTTCGCCAGCTTCGCCGAGGTCTACGGGGCGGGCGTTATGTCTCGTCGGCTTCCGACTCGGTCAAGCAAGGAGGGGCGGGGAGCTCAGCGAGGTCTAGCAGCGCAGCAAACGCCGGTGCTTTGGCCTCCCATGCCGCTGTCGGAGAAGACATAACCGATTCAGTTGGAGATAAAGATGAGGTGCAGTGCCGCAACTTTTTAGCGTGCGCAATAGCAAGGGAACGCATTTCTTCACTTGGAGTGCGGACATGTTGAACCACGCGTGCCAAGGTGCAGTCACCGTGAACTGGACTTGGCCAACCGAAAACGTAGTGAAAGCGCATCGCCTTTTCATATGACGCCATTTGCACTGCTAACCTAGTAATAGCGTTGACCGCTGCCTCCTGTCCTCTTCGTGTTCTGCTCGTTGCCTTGCGCGAGAGAACGAAATCAGCTTTTCCATCAATAATACGCTAACCGGAAAACATTACACCACCAGAGCGTTTCCCAGCGAAACAGTGCTGGACGTCAACAAGAAGGTTCAAGACACACAGGGCATCCCTTGCGAACAACAGCGCATCATCGACGTAGGCCAACAGACGAGCGATGACCGGACCCTGCGTGACTGCAACATTCGGAACGGGTCCGTGGCTCATTTGGTTTTGAGTCTCAGGAAGCCCGTGATCCTCCTGTACCTGACAGCCCCCGTCGATATCACGGTAGCGGTCGAGCTGAGCCCGCTCTGGAGCTTCTCCGCGCTGTACCCGAAGCTCTAGCCCAGGAAATTGAAGCAGCCAGCCGCAGACTATGAGGTCAGTCTTGGGGACATGTAGAAAGCAACATACATCGGGCATCCCAGACGTCCTTTGGAGAGACACCAAAACATGTAGCACATGCTTGTCGCTGAACCTGTGCCCGTTTGAACAACTGCGTGCCAAGGCCGTTCGGACCGATAGGTGCCATACGACTTGTTTTGATGACGTCAGGATAGAACCAGGCTCTTGTCCTTGGCATCATCAGGCTTTCCGTTGTGGCACTAAGATCACGCTTTTGCCGTTATGCACACCCTGAGCCTTGACAGCCTCTCCCTTCTCTCCTTCTCTGTGCTAGACTGGTTTCCAGGCTACCGTGGCTGGTGGCCAGCAGTTCAAATGGAACGTCCACGCCAGTCCCGACGGGTCTCTCAAAGACCTGACCATCGGCAGGGAGTACCCGTATCTGTTCTGGGAAGCAGACTCTTCCGACGGCCGGGTTTCGCGGAGCTTTGGACTGGACGGCTCGAGCTTAATGTGCGTCGCAGGCGACGCCGCAGGTGTGGTGTTATGGGTGCTGGTGCTGCGTCAAGGCAGGGCGACGCGTGAATTCAGCTTGGCGGTACATGCGGTATGGTTTGGTCGCTGTTCTGCGTCCAACCAACTAAGGGGACCGAAAATTGTGTCACAGCGGAATCTAGCAGCTAGCTGCACAAACGAGCACCACACATAGCGTGTAACGCTCGAGAGGTAGCTTTGAAGAAGGCCGCCGGGTCGACCAAGGAGTAGCTTGGTGACGGTGGATCGCTTCCGACACGGCCATTCTGTCCATCCGGAGAGGTTCGAGGCGTAGAGGGTGCGATCACATGCCTGCACTGTCTTTTGTCGTCAGGATTGGCTTCGGTCGTCCCGAAGTCAATACCCCGTAGCTCTGCTGCGGATGCTGGCTACACACCAATTTCGACGCCTATCCCATACCGGTCGCCTCGGTAGTCTAGTTGGTATCCTCGAAAACCTCCTATCTTTTAATAGTGGCCAGGTTCAGGGGATCGAAAACCGGCGTAAGCGAGCTCTTCCTGCAAAGTGGGTTTTTCCCTCGCTTCCGTTCCTGGCCTGGGTGGAAAGCTCTGGTTCGTATGTACACAGAGGGAAGAGCGTGCTGCACGCTTCTCGCCTATTGAAGGCAAAGCACCGCAGGAGAGGCGAGTAGGGGACTCAGGGAGGGGAACTGTTCTGTGTGACCACGGATTCGAGGAAACGGCACAAATGCTATTAAAGCTGATTTGAAGTGAAGACAAAAAACAAAATCTCACGCGAAGCAGGTAAGGTCGGTTTAGGAGTGGACCTTCCCTACCATGTTGTGCAACCTTGGATCACCTCCCGGCAGTCGGTTTGCACAACACCCTGTCCGGGTGCGTTATCGCCAATGTGACTCATGTTTCGTTGCCCGATACTATTCGAAAGGCTTGTTCCTCGATGTCGCCCTGGAACGCCTCGGGTTCAACGTGCGGGAGCGTTGCGACATGGTCACGCACTGGCTGCCGCCGCTGGAGTCGTCCCGCTTCAACGTGATCTACTCGGTCGAGGTCGAGCGGTACGAGCAAGCAGCCCGCCTGACCATCGTGCCTACTCCGGATCTCACGATCCGCGTCTTCATGGCCTTCAGGTGGGTCGTGGCTGTGCGAAGTTGCTCGATTGGTCTGAGAGGCAATCAATGGACCACTATGTGAACGACCTTGTTGACCTCATAGTGTTGAGCCATCTCATCTCAACTCAGGTTGCGCAGCTGTTGCGTGAGGTGACAATAGTTCGAATGCCGACCCTGAAGTGTAACCCTGGTACAACCTATTGACAAACATGAACTTAATATCAATATCCCAGACTTGGCCATGCCTCGCACATAACACCTTTTCGAAGTTGATGGCCCGTACCCAAAAGTGATCTGCCCATACCGCTCGATATTTCAGTAGATCACATGAGAAGCTTTCTATCGTTGCATCAGCTCGTTTCTCAGTACTGCACATCAGCCATTTCTGAACCTCGTTGGATCACGGCGAGGTGTTTTGTGTTTGCAGAGGCGTCCATTAGTACGACGCGGAGCTGGATACTGCCAAGATTGAAGAGCTACGATCGCCTGCCCGGGAGGGATTCGTGGCAGTAGAGTGGGGGGGCATGGACCCAAACGGAGTTTCGCACGACTAACCGATCCAACGAGATGACGTTCTCTGGACTGCCTTCGACTGACGATAGGGTACTAGCCAGAGCGTCCGGCGTCACGAAGGGAAACGATGGTACATAATAGTCTTTGCTACCGAGTAGGGTCGCTCGTCCACAGGTTGGCGATGTCGTTGGGTCGTATGAGACCGAACTTCTTCGAAGTCGAGGAGCTTGGGATGATGCGGGGCCCTCCCCGCAGGAGTGTGCTTGCAGTGAGGAGAGACGGAACCGGCTCTCTACGCTGTGGCCATGTGTAGTACCATCGTGGGCAGATGAGCAAGGCGGTCCCAATCACCGTGGTATTGTGCTAGTCCAAGCTTGGAAGTGGCGCCAATAAACGTCTGTCTAGACTATTGAAGTTGAGTACGAATGGCACAGGAAAAATCTATCCTATGCAGAACGATCCCATGCTCGTGGTACTTCTGCGTGAACGAAACTGTGGCTGGATTGGTTGTGACACACTCTAGCGGTGCAGATATCCGTCCCAGTTTGCCGGGTTCCGCTATCCGCGAGGGAGATACATTGATGAGACTATGAGGCGGATCGGGGAATACGGGTACCGACGGGAACGAACTACTGTAGCCTGTGTCGTGCACATAAAGGATGAAGTCAGCTAGGTGTCATTTCGCTCGCCGTTTCGTGAAACTATACATAAATATAAGTTAGTTTTGTCTAGGTTTGGGAAGGGCAAATAGGAGGCCAGGATGAACTCTTCACTCTGCTGTTGTTTTTCTTCGATGCATGCTGCGCCTGCAAGTCTGGTCGGGTATCACTACTTACGCCGTCGCGGGCGCAGCGATTCCTTTCTACAGTACAGCAGAGCAGTAACGTGTGTGTGTATTCACGTGTTGTTGTTGTGCACATGGGCCCGGACCAGCTGGAACGATCACGACCGACTGCATGCACGGTGAATTAACAACATTGCAGGCCATCGGGGTGTTTTCCTCGAAGAGTGGCGACTTCGTCCTTGGGCTGGCGAATGACTGGTGCACGACTCTACCGCATGCTTGCGTTTGTCGACCAGGCTGTGTTCACTTGCTGGAGCGCGTTTACGTTTCTGCGGCTGGCGATCGTAGATGTACTGCTGTAGGCGATTTGTTTATTGGTACAATAGAAAAGACTGCTGTACTATAGCAGTTGTATAGTAGTCTATATGCAGGACAAATCTCGGTCTCTTTCGCGCCACGGTGAGCAGCTCTCACGTGGTGTGCAGCATGCAACTGACACCACAAACCTGTAGGCTGATGCAACAATCAGTCTTTCCCCTGGGCACGATTTCGCATGGGTCTTTGCGACCGGGGCAGCTTTCTGGGTCGGTCCCACCGATTTAGACACGATGAAATGAACAGAGGCGTTACTCGTGGACAACAGACAACAGTGTTGTGTATTTCCGTACTTTGCCAATGCACCCGTCGAGGGTTGAGAGATGATGGAAGGGAGAGGTCCAAACGTCCAATAGTCTAAGCCTGTTCAATTATCCAACGAATGCCCAGAGAGTTGTCCTGAGTTGCTGGAAAACCAAACCGGTCGATATTTGTTGGGTTTTACCCGTTGGCAATGAACCGGCCCAACCCGCCGTGGATCAATTGGTCAATGAATGTGCGCTGTATATTAAAAGACCTCGCGTGTCTTACACAAGCCTACGTGAAGAAGATTTCGATTCCAATGGAGCACCGTTATGGTGCGAGCACGGGCGACATGTGACGACAAGAGGACCCACACCACGTTGTTCAATGAAAGGAGATACCCTTGGGTACGTTGGGCGTAAATAATCTGTTCTCCAGGGCGGAAAACTTGGTCATCAGATCAAAATAATCGAGAAGCAGATGGATGTACTGCTGTAGGTCAAACCCCTCAACGCGCCGTCTGACAGAGTTGACAAGGGCTGGCTCTTCGTTGTGGAAAGGGCAGTTGTAGAGCCCTTGTATCATACGCATACCAGCGATCATACACGGGGCGGAAGAGAAGGCGAGACAATTCATGACGTGAGACACGCGTGGTGATTCCTCGAGCGCGGCCACGCCGCTGGTCGAAACAAATTTATTTGCGAACAATAGAGTAGTAACAAATGCACACACAGAAAGAGACTGTTGTACTGTATCCCTTCGAGACATAGTCCACCTACATTCGAACGGGATGTGCAGTTTTTTATACTGTAGTTTCGTTTCGTTTCTTGGATCCAGAAGGTCGTGGGCTCATACAGCGGCAGAGTTGCTCTCTCTCTCCTGCTTCAGCGGGGAGACCAACGTCGAACCAGTCCCGTCCCACAGCAGTTATCCTGCTGCTGCTGTTGGAGGCAAAGAAAAAAGCGGTTTGAAGTGGTGATATATTTTCTCTCCTCCATGCACACGAATTGCAAGCAAGCTACAAGTAGACTGGCAGCACCTTGCACATGGATCACCTGAAGGTGTGGAGGCGAGCGGGAACGACGGAGTAACTCCCGTTTCCCTGTAATGCTGTCCTCTGGATGGAGCGAGAGGGGATACACGGGAATGCGCGAAAGAGTAACCGAGTCGAGACCGTGAGAGACAGATACCAGAGACATGTACTATACATATCTAGACTACTGTAGATTTCTTGTGACATAGATGAAAGGTAAACTACGCGGGGTGCAGCAAGCCCGTGTTGGGCGTCTGTTGGGGCAGTGGGTAGTCGGCCGTGTTAGGCCGAGAGAGAGAGGTAGAGATTGAGATTGCGTTGGCGTTGGAGAAAGCGTTGGAGAAGGAAACTTGATTGGAGAGAGACGGCGGTAGCGGTGGAGAGAGCGAAAGCAGTGCGCTAGATGCGCGAGCCTTCAACACCGCAACCAAGGCCAAAAGGGTCCCCGTATCTGCATCGGTGGTACCCATCAACATACGAAATTCTCAACACGTATCCCCGAGGATCCTCACGTCTAGAGACTGCTGCGAGTATATCTTACATCCCCCCTGCTCGCAACAGTATCTTCACTGCAAACTACGAAACAATATCGGATATCTCAACCAAAAGACGTCTTTTCCTGAATATATGCGATCAAGATTACTTCCAAAATATATGACACGAAAACCAAGTCCAAGAAACATGAATACTGCTGCATCGCGCGTGAAAATAACTTAGCGCGGAAAGCAAAACAATCAAATCGAAAGCCAAACCAAACTCATCAGAAAAATAATAAAAACTCATGCCAAATTCATCACAAAATCACGGTGAGACTCGAACGCATCCTTGGGCAAACTTTTCGTAAGAAAGTCTGCACGCTGGTACGGAGACGGCACGTGAATCACCGAAATCTCCTTCCTCTCTACCAGTTCCCTGAGAAAATGGTGCCTTACATCAATGTGCTTCGAGTTCGAGTTTGAGATGGGGTTCTGCGCTAGTTGAATCGCCCCCTGGTTGTCCTCGAAGACGGGGATGCACGGCATGCCGACCTGCGGCAACATGAAACGCCAAATCTGCCTCAAAAACAAAATCTCCTTCACTACGTCGCCTAGCGCGACGTACTCTGCTTCTGTCGTCGAAAGCGTGACGCATTTTTGCGTTCTGGAAAACCAAGACACAGCGCCTCCTCCACACGTCACGATCCCCCCTGATACCGACCTACGGTCTGCTGCCTTGCTTGCAAAGTCCGCATCAGCGTATCCCTGCAAGCTGAATCCCTCTACCGTACCTCTCTGAAACGAAATACCAAAGTGACTCGTCCTCCTCGCATAGCCCAAAATATCCATCGCTGCATTCCAGTGTACCAGCTTCGGAGATGCGCAATACCTAGCTACTGCCCTTACTGCATTCGCAATGTCTGGTCTAGTCTGAGTCGCCAGCCACATCAACGATCCTACCAGCTCACGAAACGGAAACTCTGTCGCCACCTCATCCGCATCAAAATCAGAAAGCTTCACACCCGAAGACATCGGAACGCTCCTACCTCCCACTACTCCATATTCTGCTGCTAGCTCGTCCGTGAAAGTCTGCTGAGAAATCGTCAACCTACCGGTCTCCTTATTCCTCTCGTAAAAGCACCCAGAATACCATCTCAACTCTCCCAGGTTCTTCACTGGCACGGACTTGTTAAGGTCAGCGCCAAACTTATCACATCTCTCCCTCTCTCCAACAGCAAAGATGTCATCTACATGTACAACCAAAATCAAAACAACACATCCATCCTCAATCAAACGAAACACACAAGCATCGGCCATGCACTGCTCAAATCCTAACGCCACCAAACACCTCTTCAGCATTGCATGCCACTGCCTAGATGCCTGTCTTAAGCCATACAGACTCTTGCCTAGTTTTACAATCATTCCTGATAGAGCTCCACATCCCTGCGGCAAACGCATGTACACGTCTTCCTCCAACTCCGAACGCACAAAAGCTTGCTCAACATCGAAATGACACAAGTCGAGGTTCAACTCGCACGCCAAAGCAGCCAACATCCTAACACATGAAACAGAAACGGTAGGCGCGTACAACTCTCCAAAGTCAATGTACTCTCTCTGCATATCACCTCTCGCTACAAGTCTCGACTTAACCTTAGTGGGCCATCCAAACTCATCTGCCTTCCAATCGAATACCCACTTAGCGTTAATTGCGTTCTCCACTAGTTGCTACTTCGCCGGAGTAAAAGTCCCCGCTTCCAACAAGCCATAAAACTCCCTTTGCATAGAGTCGCTCCAAAGGTGCCGGTGCTCCGACGCCATGGCCTCTTTGTAGCTCTTGGGGACACGAAGGTCGCTGGCCTGGCAATGCGGAAGGTCAGGGCGTTGCTCCGGCGGGCGCTGGTCTCGCAGCGTGGCGTCGATGTCTTCCCGGTTGGCGAGGAGCGTGGCAAATGCGAGTGGAAAGCCCGCTCCTGCAGCCCCCGGGTCCACTGCTGCGAGTGCTCCCGCCTGCTCTCCGGCCCCCGTTCCCCCCGGCTCTCCGGCCTCCGCCCCCCCCAGCTCCCTGCGCTCCTTATCCACCGCGCTCCGAGCCTCCAGCATCGACACCAGAGTGTTCCTGTCTAGCATCGAGATGAGTCCTGTGCTGTGCCTCGTGCCCGATCTCGTACGGCTTGGCAGCCGCGGGTCTGTCATACCCTCGGCCTTTGTACCCGGGCGAAGCTGCCGCATGGCGTGAGCCGTAAGCGGGGGCATCGCGGGGTCCGGCGGCGGCGGCGGCTGGTCTGGATTGGGGGTCGCCGACGGTGACGGCGGAGAGGCAGAGGACGGATTGCCAGGAGCGGGGGTCGCCGACGGTGACGGCGAAGTGGCAGAGGGCGGCTGTGAAGTCGTGGGAGCGGGCGGCGGCGTGGTCGCTGGCGGCGGCGTTGCGGCAGGAGTCGAAGAGGCAGCGGGAGCGGGAGCGGGCGACGGCGTGGGCGCTGGCGGTGGCGGTGTGGCGGTCGAAGGCGTCGGTGCTGGGCCAAAGTTGATCGAGACGACCGGCGGCGTGAACGGGGGGGGTGTCGGCGCAGCGGTGATACCAGCGGAACCCCCCTCGCCGGCTGGCGCCGACGTCACCCACGACACGTTGTTGGTGTAGACGACGCGGCCGGTGGACGCCTTGAGGACCTTGACGGTGCCGCTCGGGTGGTTGTCGCCGCCGTTCAGGTAGTAACAGAGCGTGGCCTGGTCGTCGAGCTTGGTGCGGCGGTCCTCGCGCATGAAGCCGGGCTGGAAGAACGGCAGCACGCGGAACGGCCCCTGCTCGCCGGTGAACATCTCGTGCGGCGAGCGCCGCCCGGGGTTGGCCTTGGTCGCCGACTGGTTGAGAGCGTCGGCGGCCCACTTCGCCGATTCCATCCAAAG